AAATTCAATAATAAAAAAAAAAAAAAAAAAAAAAAAAAAAAAAAAAAAACTTGTAAAAGAATAAAAAAAAAAAAAAAGAGAATTTTGAAACTTCTGCTGATTCCAAAATAATAATATTTTTAACCATCAAATAACAGTCTGCTGAAAGTTTATTTTGTTCAATTTTAGTGGTTATTTCTTTAAATGTTTGAGCAATTATCTGTTGTAACAACAAATATGCAACAAGCTGCTGAATCAAATAAGAACTATGTGATTTAGCTGCTATTAAAAAGTCTTGATAACAACTACCTGAACACTGATAATTATTTAAACAAAGTTCAAGATATAAACTCCAATTGGCTAACCATTGAACATCTATTTTCTTTGGAACAGCTTCAAAAGCCATTATTCTAACAATATTTTACCATTTTTGCAACAGATAATTGATAAAATCTTGATAAAGAATAGTTTCTATGAGATTGCATTGCTTTATTTGAAGATAAAAAACTTTCATATTTTTCTCAGTTATATTGTTATTGCATGATTCTAATGAAAACTTAATTCTTCCCATAATTAAATCATCGACAAGAAGATTTTTAAAAACATGTCGTGAAAGTGGTAATAATTGTAGCAAACGATTATTATGTTTTTTGTATATATAGTAAGGTTGTTCATTATTAATTAGACATTTTTTATCTCTACAATAATCCTAATATTGAATTTGCTTTAGATAATAACTCTTTGAGTGTATAATTATTAATATATCATAACTTTGTGTCAAAGTATTAATACCAATTTCAGTTCCATTAGTTTTTTCATAATTGATACTTTTTAATTTTGATGAAACTAATGCAGTTACTTGATATTTGTTTAGAGAGTATCCATAAGATTTAAGTGTTTGTGTAGAAGAATCTTCACCAAGCTGACAAATTGTGCCAAAGAGTCCCTCAAACATATTTTGTGAAATGTGTCTTGGTTGAACAACTAAGCCTGGGTATTTTTTTAAAAATAATATTAACATTTCAAGAAAACTATTAATAGACAAAATTAGATCAAATTGATATTGTGATAAAATCCATTGTGTTGATTCAACTTTCTGTTTATCGCTATGTATAAATTAATTGCGAAGCTCTTTTAAAGTATTAATATATGAATTCTCTATTAAATGAAATCCAATTTTACTGTGCATTATTTGGCGATAATTTTGCAAATATTTAATAAAGTCCTTCGAATTTTTTTTTTAGTTTTTTTTTGATTAAAAATATTTGTTTTTAATATAATTATTATTTATCTGTGTAATTTCTGATATTTCTTTAAGTTCTTCAATAGATGCTAATACATCTTCAACTTCTTTTGATATTATATGCTCTGCAAGGTCAACTCACATCTTACTTCACGAGGTAAGCCAAATATAGTGTTTAGTAAGTTTGGTTGCTTTTGCTATTGCATGTCGACATATATTCATATACATCTTGTATATATTTTCAGCTGATTTTCTTCCCATTGAACTGATTTCTTGACTATTTTTTTTATTGCTTCCATTTATATAACTTTTAGATAAGTTATTTCTTAGTTTTTAAAAATATGTATTAGATCACTAATAAAAAACCATTCCTCACCAGTAATAGAATTTATTGTTTTATGATATGTGAAGAGTTCTTGTACATTATAAACAGGCTAAAAAACTAATAGCTTCTTCTTTAGTAATTTTCTACATAAATATCCCTTCAATAACATCTAAAATTTCTATTAGTAATATTTGTATATCTGAATCAATATTAGTAATTATTCCTAAATGCCACTAGTTGTCTTGTAGATTTTTGAATTTATACATTTTATTAAAATTCCACTTTAATTTTTTAAGCATTGGAGAATGAATAAGTGCTCGATCAACTGTAATTATTTCTGAACTACTATGATCAAGGTAATACACAAAAAATTTTGTTCAGTCAGGATTAAAATTTACAATTTCAGCAAAATAAAATTTTTTCTTATCAAATTCAACCTCTACAATATCATACAATGATCAGGTTGAGGCATACTAATTAAAACTTTTAATATGAGTTTTGTTTTCTCTAGCACTGTCACAAATTGAACTATAGGTATATATATTAAGCTATTCTAATTTTGCTATTAAACTAAAAATTAATGTATTCAAATTGTATGCTATCATTATATTAATGTCATAATAGGATATTGAAAAAGAAAAATTATGTGTTGCCAAATGCTAAACAACTTGATAAACTTGAGTTGCAAGTTCACATTTAGGTTCTTCGAATATAGAATTAGATAAGAAATTATTTTTTGTTGATAATGATTCAATTTTTTGTTAATACTATATTGCAAATATTTGATAATCTTGTATTTCATCTTCAAAATCTAGATAATCAATATAACAATTTTCACGTTGACTCCAAAGAAGACCTATTTAAAATCAAACTTTTAATTAATTTATAAATTTATTTAAATTATATATATAAATTTTATTACTTTTTTGAATTTTAAAGAAATTATGAGAGAAAAACCCTATTCATCTATATCCCTAAATTTTATTTGCTATCAAGCTAGCTAATATTTATTAAGCAATTTTGTTTTGCTATTCTGATTTTTGTTCACATTCATTAATATAGCTTTTACTTAGCAGAAACTTGAATTTTTGCTATTTATGATTATTATATGAAAGTTATATAATTATTATATAATAAAAATATAATAAAAATATTTTTAATCT